TCCTTGCTAAGTTACCTGTACTGTTCCAATTGGCCCACAGGAAGCCAGCTAAAGCAACAAATCTCAACTTTGTACCCTTCACATCCAAGGATGTACCCTTTGGAGTATATCAGTATAAAAGAAGCCAAGTATTTTTACTGTAGGTATCCTAGAGATGTGTAATACTTCATTTTTTTGAGTACTGGAGAGTATACTAGAGACTTAGAATCAACGTTGTATGATCAACTGTAAAAATGTCCCTTTGAAGGGAGTGACAGCACTTTGGCTGTTGTGACCTGGCTTAATGGTTGATGAACATGCAGAGTGCAGACACTGCTTTAACTCTGCAAAGATATAAATTGTAGACATCGTAAAAAAAACCCACAACAAAACACCCCACTAGAAGTGCATGAAGAGCAGAACGTGAACCCCTTCTTGGTCGCAGAAACTACATGGGCTAATTTGTTGCCAGCAGAGATGCAAGATGAGATTTGGTCAGGAATTCAGAGGGCTGCACCCTTCATTCCCTTTACATAAGCAATAAAGAGGCTTTGAAATGTTTGAAAATGTTTTGTTCTTCCATGCAAACGGAAAGCACCCTGTAGATGCCTATTAAGTAAAGTCTTCCCACATCTTGGCAAGTATGTGATTTCAAGAAAAATATTTGCAAATGGATAACCCAATTCAAGTAGAAGTCAAAGACCACCTTTGAAAGAAACTGATGTGGCTATAAAAAGATTGCATTTAGGAAGGACAGTGTAAAATGGTTCTGTTATCAAAACTTTGTACATCCCCATATTTCTTTGCTGCTCTTCATGTAAAAAATAAAGGTGATAAGCAGAGAAGTGAATGCCCATGAGGCCTAGGACCAAGGCAGAGTCCGTGAAAAGAACTGTTCCTGACTCTTGGGCAAACTCAAAACAGGCCATTCAGCAATCTCACTGCCAAAGGACAGGGATATTGGAGTATCCACAAGTGTGAAAGCAAATGACAAAAACAGTTGCCATGTGAATCTTTAGTGAGATCATCAGGAAGCCTGGCATCTTTTATTAATATGGAAATGCTTCTATATCTTTCCCAAGGCACAGCTATCATGGCAGATTTCAAAGTCAGAACCTATGCACCTGGCAAATGGAAAAAGATGAAAGTTGTGAAGATGCTTAAAATTCTTTTTTTTTTTTTTTTTTTTTTTTGAATGCTGGCCAACAACCTTCTAATGAGATTAACAGTTCAGCATCCAGATTGTGAGGATAACACTATGAAGACCAATACATAATATTTGATTGTCACTGAGCGTATGTGATCAGAAACAACAGTGATGGGATTCAGAATCACACGTCTTCCATCTGTCAGAATGGGACAATGTATACAATTTCACCTCATTTCAGCTTCTGAATACTTCGGGGGATTGGAAGAGCTTTACAGGAGCTTTGAGCTTCACAAATGGAAACCTAGCACTATTCAGCTCGGGGATTTTTCTGCACAGGAACGTAAATATTAACAACAACCTACATAGGTGAACTAGATGGGCTTACCATACTTTGAAATATCAGTCAGGAGCATTTATTCACCTTCTAATCTGTACTGCAAGGCTCCAAACCACTTATCTAAAAACAAGGCAGTCTAAACAAAAAGAAGTTCCTAGTCTGAACAGTTATGAAAGTGCCATCTAAACACAAAGGAAGCATAGAAGGGTTTTATCTGCCTGGTTATGAAGATAACATCCCAGTAAGAGTTCATAACATGAGCTATGTGCAACATAATGAAAACTGAGGAAACCCTCCACTCAACTAATTTTTCCCTCAGATATCCTGAAGACGTCACTGAAGCAATGGGATCAACTTCATCTCTCCGTTACTTCAGCCAGCTCCAAGAAGCAGATGCAGCCCTAGCATAATTCAAAGAGCTCAAAGCTAAAAGAAAAAGCAGACATTTCATTTCTGGTAGCAATCATCACATTTCAGCACAAGAAGGAGGGAAATGAAAAAGTAAGAATATATACTTCATTGTATATTTTTGTGAGTATACATATATACAATATCTATCTATTTCCTTTCCCAGGCAGCAAGAGCCTTTGTGCACTCTCAAGGTGGACATCTCTGGGGGCAAAAATATATTTAATCCTGTACAGTGGATATATGAATTTGCCTGATACAGCAGAAAATTATAAAATCTGCTACAGGATTTGCCTGAGTTCAGGACTCCAAGAATGGTATTATTACATTCAAGGACTCAAATAACAAAAAGGAAAACAATTTCAGTTCATTGCTCACAAACTCTGCAGAGCTCAAAAAATATATGATCTAAGGTGACTTAACTGACTTAATGTTTGGGAGTTTTCTTCAACTTCTGATCTGTAATTTGAGTCAACTCCACAAAATGTTTGTTCATCTAACCCGAGTCGCAGAATAAACCACAACTTGTGTCATGGAAAAAGTAATTGTTGAATGTTTAGAACAGCACTTGCTGTATTAGTAAATGGAAATTCTATCTGCCAATGAAACAGCACTAAAACAAGACCCCCAGTCTGCAGTCTAGAGACAGAGGTGATCTGCTGCAGGCCTTACAATATGTTTGTCCAGCATATGCACTAGAGAAGTTTACACAAAACTTCAACATCCAGCATAGGCAGAGTAGCATCTTTCATTAAACTCACTGTACAAAAACAAGTTAATAAAAACAGGAGTCTCTCAAGAGAAAAAACAGGCTCAGTCAAGACACTGAAAGCAAGGGCCAGAGGAGGAAAGAATGGTGGGACTCTACCCAAGCCCTGCCAAGACGCCAGAACAAAGGGCTGTTTCCTGCTAAAACAATCTGTGTTTGCCAGACTTTATTGTTAGAACTCCATTATGGAAATGAATAGGACCCGTTTCACGCCTCAAAGATCCTTCATTTCTGTCTACAATGGGGGCTCTCTCCTGTGCAGCTACAACAGTGGTCAAAATCCACTAGAGACAAGGCATTAAGCAAGGCAGATTACGAGAAGTCTCTCCACTATTGGAAGGTCTAATAAATCTGTGTGGAAATCTGAGCTCTCTCAAACCCAGTGAAAACCCAAGAAATGCATATTCTCACTCTATACTAACTTGCCTTCAGCTCTGAAAATGATACAAAAGCTAATGATTTCATTCTGGCACAAAAAAAAATATTCCATCGCTTTATCTGAAAGATAAATTGGTTTCCCTAGAGGATTAAACAGAAATTATTTAGTGATTAGAGTAAAAACAAATGACTGATTAGGAAAGACTTCCATTTCAACCTGAATAGGAGACATTAGACGTTTAATCAAAAGACTAGAACATGTTGATTTCAGAATAACCGAGGTAAGTAAATAACTTTTAGTATCTAGGCTCAATAACAATAGTTAGAAATGTTAAAATTCAGAAAAATAGGAAATAAAATAAAAAAAGGCAACAATTTCTACATATGAATTCAGATAGAGGATATCTGCACTTGGAAAGCATTTCTCAAATCACTTGGATCTTCCCTAAAGGTCCTGTAGATTCCAATATGCTGCACCACCCCATATGGGACACCAGGAATCATCATGGGTCTTTGCTGTCTAACAGGTATTTGCATTTCCAGCTTTTTTAACTCAGTCAAAAGCACTTTGCTACTTCCAACCTTCATGCTCTCTGGAAGAAAGAGATGCAACACAGGGGATTGTCACAATCATAAATTCAGGGCAAGCACTTAAAAATCTGCCTGTTCATCCATCAATTTCAGTATACAACTGTCTGGACAGACATTCTGAAGTTGACCTGCTGCAGTAACCTCTGTGTGTGTGCAGCTTGTTACATTCACCTGGGGACTCATTTCATTAATGGTTAACAAAGTGCCCCCCATGTGACAGCAACAAATTCAAGATGGGAACATGGATACTTTTAAATTGTTTGCATCTCATTCATAACAGATCTGAATGATACTAAAAACTGAGCTCTCCCACTGTAGTTTTAACTACAATCTTTGAAATCCCTAAGGATTAGGGTCTGGTAATTTCAGTTACTTCCGTTCTCTGGAGCCCATATGGTAACTATAGCTAAAAATTTTGAAGATTTAATTTGCAATCTGGGAAAAACGGTTTTAATGGTCTTCTCCAAAACAACCCTTCAATCTGCCTTTTTCACAGCCATCTTTGTTAAAAAATATGAAACATGACCAGTCATTAACATGACTAGCACAGTAACAATGGAGCGATCAGGTGGCCTGAATACCAACAGAACAATACTTCTTCAAAAAAAGTAAATCAAATTTCATCAGACCCAGACAATCTGAAGATCTCAAAGTACTGACAATACTGGCCAGAATCACTGAGGTTCACAGAGGCCAAGTAAAGTATCAGAAGTCCAAAAAAGGAAAAATGTCACTCCTGTCTTCAAAAATTCAAGAAAAGAGGAGCAGTCTGCGAGGTAGTCTGCTTAGCATCAATACTCAGTGAATAAACCCCTTTTTTTGCAATTCCCTAGAAGATAACTAAAAGAAAATAACGGCAAATGTGGATTTGTTAGGAGCAAAGCACACCGCATTAGTCTAACTTTGGCCTTGAGACCCATTAGGCTGCCACAGTAGGGTAAGATGCCCTAAAGGTCTCAGGATTTTAGTACCACGCTTGATCACGAGTTGTAAAGCAAGCTAGAGAAACTACACAGAGGGATCCATATGTGATATTTTCTAAAGATATTAACTCAGGCAAAGAAACAGGTACATTCCTAAATGAACTGCTATGATTACCAACATGTTGGTTAAGATTCCTTGGATTTCAAGGTTGTGTACTTGCAGCGGTACCTGACTAAATGTTCACCAGAGGTGTTTTCTGTGCAACACTCACCAAAAGGTAGAAAAAACATTATTGGAACTGTGGGACTCAAACCAATTTTCTCTTTGTATGACCCAAACAGTGCCTGCTAGAGTCAGTGTGATGAGTTTCATTAGGGCAAATCCTACTTCCAGAGCCAGAAAAAAAAGAAATAACCAAATACTAGCATCAAAGAGGAAAGGATTTCGTGTTAAAAAATACCAACCCTTGCAGCTGGAAGATGCAATTCTGTACCACTTGAAGCTAAAAGAGAATCCACTTTCTCATGCATCACTCCCGTGAAAGTCGACAAGAGATGAAGGTGGTAGAACATCAAAACGTGCAGCTTAGCAATAACAATACAGCCACTGTAACAGATCATGTGTGAATGAATGCCAGGGAAGGCTTTCCTATCAAAGAGGAAAGAGCAGGGTAGGACAAAAGATAGCAAAATGAGAATTCTTGTTCTCTTTAAAAGATAATCTCAGGAAGAAAAGCATACAGGTACTAGAGTATTCTTGCAGTAACTGTAACAGTGATAACTACTTCGATATTAGAAAAGAAAAATTATGCCAAAGACTCCTGCATTCTTGAAGGCAAATAACATCTAAAAGTAGGCCTTCAGCTGGGAGTCTGGAAAGCCATTTAGTGATGCATGAGACTCTATAATCAAAAGCAAGACCTTGCCATTCTTCTACCTCATGTTTGCTGACAGGACTAAACCTAATCCATGTTCTGTCAGGATATACAACAACAACTGACTGACCGACCTTAAGAGTAAATTTTCTTACTGACAGCTTATGCCTTCGTTGGTTTTCTCATAATTTTATCAGTAATTCCCTGGAATACCTGTTAGTTGCCATTTTTAAGAGTGTCTTACCAAAAAAATAGACTTGCTGAAATTACTTTCTATAACCCTGGCTTAGAGACCACTGAAGAACAGTAAATCAGGGAATTTGAAAATAAACTCTTAAAAGTCAAGACATCCCAAATGTAATTAATCTCTCCAACAAAATGTTACTTTCTTCTTAACCACATATATTATGCCTACAAATTCTAGCTGTGTTCCAGAAATATGTACAACAAAAATCATAGAGCAACTTTTCCACACCATGATAAATCCAGCATAATAATGAATGTGCACTGCAGTAAAACAAAGCTGAAACCACATAAATGATAGCTTCTAGCAACTGTGACTGCATTATCAAATCCTTAAACATCAAAACTATCAGAGTGCCAGTACTTGGCCAGCACTCGCCTACTGTGTAAGCTTGAAGGCAAACACTTTTCGAGCTTGAAATTTGAACTCATTAGCACACAGAAAATATATGATCTGTTCCAAGCTGTCTGCCATAATAGTTGAACTACTCTGGAGTCCAATCTGGAAACAGGAACAGCAAAATAAAGAAGACAGGTTTTTTCCTTCAATTCTTTCAAAGATTCACTGAAGAACCACTTCAATTCCAGTGCAGTTCTCTCCATAGAGATGTAAGAGGGCACTGAAAGTGAGAGAGAAAACTGACTGAATCCCACAACATATTGGACTTGCGAGTTTAAAAATAGAGGAGCAACTAAATTACTACTGTTACAAGAGGGTGGGTGATAGGAAGCTACATAACCAAGACTAACTTGGGGTTTCTTGTTTTTTTAAATGAAAACATTTAAAGAACAACAGGAAGGAAGGACATTCTCAGACCTATTATATCTAAACAGTCATCAGGTGATAAAGCACCTACACCTTGATCTGACAGGTAACTCAGAGGTGTCAAAGCAGTGCACGTCAGAGTGGATATTAAGATATAACAGAACCATATTTACTCAGAGTAGAGTTCTCTATTATGCAAGATAAACCAGAATCCTTTGGCAGAGGGATGAACACAGAGGAGGGCATCTGCTAGGATATCGAATGGATCAGAAAGAGAAACCATGAGCATCTGAAAAGATAAGCATATACAAGTCCTTTCAGTATTTTTCAAGGAACTTTGAGTTCTAAAAATAATGAGTGGTTTGAGACATCTTTGTAAGAACTATTCAAATAGTAAGTGTTAGAAACCTAGGAAGATTTAGGTACTTGTAAGTGAAATGAAATCAAAGCACCTCCAGAAATGGAGACACTCAACAAGCTTATTGAGTATGCCATGTCAAGATTCTTTATAACTTCTACATGGTTAAACTTCAACATAGTCTTATACATAAATAAATTCTGAAACAAAAACTATAAGCAGAAACACTACCTCTGCCTCACACTAACAACTAGTAGGAAGCACACAGTTACTATGTAAAATATCAGTTATGGAAGTTTTGTAACAGGTTCTCCCTCTTTTGCTTTCACTCTGCCTCGATAGAAAGGGCAGAATCAAGGTCATCTGCATGGTATTTATTATGTTTTAATGAGTAATTGAAATATGCCTGGATTTTTTAATTCTAATTTAAAAAATCCTAATTCAGAAATAGTCTTGTAACTTGTAGTTTACCCAGGTTCACCACTATATACACCAACTTTTTGTGTATTAGTGTGTGTTGATGTGCTCAGAATACCAATTCAGTGGCTGAGAGTAACAGAATCCAGTTGCTGTGAGGCCACAAACAGCGTGGATAACACCAAGAAACTGAAAGATGAATTTGATCTTTTACTTATCCTATTTCTTCTCACAAGCAACATGAGACACATCTACCCTGACAACCATTCTAGATAAAATGTTCCATTATAGAAACATAGCATACCATTCAGGATTTAGATGATATAAGAACACAAGCAAGATTTTCATGAGAAAGCAAATTGCCCAGCTAATGGAAACAAACATTCACTAAAATGATGCAATATTAGTGTTATCAAATTGTTTTAATTCATCATTCTTCCACCCATTTTAAAAACAAGGCTGTAAGCTACACGAAAAATTTAGATTTGTAAGGCACACCATTCATAGACATAAAAATTTATGACGGAGGCTGCCTACAAACACATGGTCACTGAATGTATACCTGACTTGGCTACTGAGGGTTATCTTTGCAAACACAATCAACGCAATCAGTTGCTCTTTTATTTCAGTTTTGTAATAGAATGGGAGGGAGGGAGGAAGTGAAGGCTCCTTATGGTTACACTGAAAATCCCAAATGTGTTAAGGGAATGTAACCACTATACACTGAAGCTATGTAAGTACCAAGGCGGGGGTGGGGGTGGTGGTGACATACATCCATTCAAACACCTATGCGATTTTGTGGTTTTTTTTCCTGCTAGAGGAGACAAGAGTTCTTAGCCTGCAGGTGCATTTAATATCGGGAGGTGATACTCTAGAGAAGAACCAAAGGCCAACGCTGAAATCGCGGTGCCTCAGCCCTTGAACAACCACCGGGACGGCGGCACTTGCCGGTTCAGCCCTCCCCCTCTCCCGCACCTCGCGTGCCCCAAGCAATAAAAGCCCCCGCGGCTGGGAAGAGCCATGGAAAGCAGCTGGAAAGGGGGAACGACGGGAAGAACGGGGCAGGCAGCGCGCGGCCCGCCCAGCCCCGCCCCGCGCATGCGCGGAGCCGCTCGCCGCACGGGGGCGGGATGTCGGCTGGGCCGGCCGCGCCTCAACCGCAGCGCTCATCCCACGCCGCGGAGACCGGGAAGGGACGGGGGACGCGCCCCAGGCCGGTTACCTGGCCGAGGGTCCCGCGGTGCAGGGCCCGGATCACGCCACTCGGTGTCGCCATGGCAAAGGCGGGGAGGAAGGGGCGGGGGGAAGGGAAGCACGGCGGGAGCACGGCGGGATCAGCGCCTGCCCCGCAGCGCGGAGGGCGCAGGCGCGGTCACCGGGAAGGGGCGGTGCTGGCACCGCACGGTCCTGTCGGGTATGCCGGGACGGACCGGCCAGGCCGGGTGTGCTAATGGTGCCGGGGCATCGCTTCGTGGTTTTTCACGGGTCTTGTCACATCTGCAGGCTGCCCTTGAAACGGCCCCTCTTAGCAGTGTGTCCGCTCCCGAGGGCTCCTTGCTCCCTTCGGCTCGCCTGGCCGTGCCCGCTGCAGCTCTTCCACGGAGAGATCCGCAGCCTGCCCTTCTTACTCGTCAAACTAGCTAAAGTCAACTCCCACAGAAAACCCCGAAAAGATGCTCTCTTCCCGCAATCCGCCCTACTCTGTCCCAAAAGCCAAGGCAGGAGAAGCTCTCTTCGTCCAGCATCCCTGACACGGCACGTCCCCAAACGCGGTCTTTGTGCCCGTGTCGCTTCCAATGGACAAGCTCACAGAACCAAAGCAAGTAACACCACAGTTGTTAAACGAGGTTTGACATGCTTCTGAAGAAGTTGTTCATCAACTCTTCATGTAGGCTCTTTCGGAATGGGTGCCAGTTAGTTTCTGCCCAGTTTAATTCCCAGGCTGGGAAGACACAAAACGCTTGTTTACCAGTGGTCAGGTGATGTGAACTGCAGCTCACCTGCAGGTCTGGAAACATCTGGGGCAATGTCTGTGGGAATCTGCTGCTGCAGGGTCTGGGGAGACAAACTGGGAAAGAAGGATCAGTGAAGGAGGTGCACAGGTCTGTTAGCAGTGGCACTGTGTGTCGTACTGGTGATTATTTCCAGTAGCCCATTGAAACACCGTCACTGAGGATATTATCATGGAATGTTCCTAACTCTAAAATCTGGTAGCAATTTTAATAGCTAAACCCACTGTAAATTTACATAACTGTTTTTTTATTTTCACTTTGATGCATTGGCTAGTAACAATTTTTTGTTTTTATTTTAAAACCCTGTATGTGCAGTGCTTAGTACATAGGAGTACATTTATTCCTCCAGACTCTACTACAATACAAATTGTAAAAAATATACTTTGCACAGTCCATAAGAACTTTAGCTCAAACCCAGAAATTGTACATATAATTTTTTCATTTGTGTCATCACTATAGATATTGTTTATAATTTGAGCTAAAGACTTCTTTGTGTGATGTTCACCTTTGTCTGACATTTTTATTCAGTCTTTCAGCAAAAATATGTCAGCCATTTTTTGAGAACATAACTAAGCAAAAATCACATGAAGCTGCTCGAATTGTAGAAAACATCATGGGAAAAGCTGAAAAATTGAAAAGCCCAGTTGATATTTTTTGAGATTTTCCAGTCCTAAGACCAGAAAATTATTGGACAAGAGCATATGGCTACTTCATTAATATGAGACTGAAGGTGTGATCAGAGTGGAGCATCAGGCAACAACTCTGATGGTGGGAGGGATGGACAGATCCTAGCCTCTGTCTCACAACTAAAACTGTTTTCTTTTGGAGACTAATTGGAGCAGGTAGAGCTGTCTTAAACTAATTCTGTGAAGAGGGAAATGCTGGAGACAAATGGAATATAAACCTATCTTCAAAAAGTTGCTCAAAGAAAATTGAGGTAATATGATAAGGAAATGTTAAGACAATTTGTCAGTTGCAAATAATATTAAAAAAATCTCTTTCCCCATATGTTTGCCAAGGAGACAGCTTTCAGCATCTAATAACTATAAATATTATAATGCTGTTATAAGTCAGTAAGTCAGATATTGGTTTGAGGCAAAAAGATAAAGAAAAAAGCTATGTGGAATTCAGACTAAAGAATGAAGATATAGTTAACACTGCTTAAGAAGTATTAGTAGTAATTTTCAAAGCCATTAGAATTTGAGTTAGTAAATGGAACATTAAAAGGTGATATTTTTTAGACTTTTGGAATACCTTGATTTAGTACCACAGAGCATTCTAATTAAACATACAGGAGAAGCACACATTAAATGACTAAGGGGTGATTAGCTGACAGGTCTTCAAAAGTACTTGTTACAGTAGAGTTCTATGGTGACTTATGCTTTGCCCTACTCAGTACTGTTGCCAATTATCTGGAAATAAATACTGAATAATTTATGTTGAAGTGTGCCCTTGATGCAAATATTGACAGACTTCTTAATAATGCTAAAAACATCATGATCACACAGATAGTATGAGTGTATTAAAACAAAGCATGTTTTAAAATCAGGTTGAAACTGAAGTAAACACTTGAATTAAAGTTGAATTTTTTTCTTTAACTGGATCTGACCCTGAGTTATTACTTTAAAGTCTTTGTTAAACCCAAACTGATGCTGAACAACAACACCAGCAAAAATCAATAAAATATTTACAATTCCTCTTCAACACAGGAAGAGCCCACTGCTGTGACAGAAATCTAACAGGGGCAGAAGAATAAGCGTGGTGTAGGCCGAGAAGGAGAGTGGTGTGAATGTGCAGGGTGGGTGAGAAGAGGTTGGCTTGAGAATCCCAGAGAAGATGAGACAGCTTGTATCCTGAGACATGGCAAAATTAGGGAAGAAGAAATATTTACTGCTAATATTTATTGTCCTCTGAAATCTCCTGCTGCTGCCAAAACACTTCTGACCTTCTCATGTAGATGCTTTCCCCCTGTTCGTATTACCCCAATGCACACTGAGAACTCACTCAAGACTATTTAGATGTGAGGAATTTGCTCCACAGTCCAAATTAGGAAAATGCCAGTTGACAGTTGAACATGAACCAGGACTCCAGTCAGAATTTCACTAGTGCAATTCTCTGTTATTAGCACTGCCAAACTGACTGTTGACTTAGAAACAGGAGTTCTAGACCGTATCTTTCAGACCAATGTGTGTCCCCTGGGACACAGCGATTCTGCAAAAGACCTAGAGTTTGTGTGGGACAAGCAGCTCTATTTGCTGGTGCAGTCCTGTAGCTGAAATGGTCAATTAAACAATTTTTTCATAATGGGATACCGGTCAGAAAATACTAAGTCCTCTTTGGGTTTCTGTGCATAAAAAAGATATTGAAAAATCAAGGAAAATACTACAGACATTAGCTGTAAAATTATTTTTAAAAGGACTTAGGCCTATGCTCAATCAAGTGATTAGTGAAGATGCAGGAAGTGCTAGAAGTGGAACAGAGAGTCTGATTTTCTCCAGGTAGAAATACCTCTAGCTGGGCTAGAGCCCACAAACTTTTATTTTCATGAAGCCTTGAAACAGCCTAAAATATTAGAACCTATGTCTGTTAATTTATCATGTAAGATCTATGTTTTATGCTTAATCTATTTGTGTTTTATCTCCCATCTTTGAAATAGAGTAACAAGTATTCAAGTCAGCATTGTCAAAACAATTTCACTAATACTCTTGAATCATTCACATTACCTGATAAAAGTAACAAAGAAAAATGTGGAAGGAAACCAGTAATTTTTCCATTCAATGAAGGGATTATGACAAAAAATCCTATGGTAAGAAAGATTTGGACACCATTTTGAAAAGTCAACAATACTCAGAGGAGCAAAACCTTTCCAGAAAAAATAGTATGCTAAGATATAGCTACAGTCAGTATCATAATATTTATACAGAAGAGAGGGAAATTAATTAAATCACATAACAGAGTTGATGCTGTTATTTCTCATTTTCTGAGTTTTTGATCACGTTTTTTAATGTAGCTGGCAGGAGGGGTAATTATAACTACAATTATTTTTATTGTTTGCTACAGCATTGCTCAGATACTGTCTAAAATAGGATACCTTTGTGCTGTGCATTGCTCAAGCATGCACCAGGTGACAGCCACTGCTCCAAATAGCTCATAGTCTAAAAGACAAAGTGGACACAGATTGAAGAGTGTATGACACATAGCATGATAAATGAATTTGCAGAAATGGAGATGTAAATATTGTGGGTACTGTTGTTTTTTAAGTGAAGGGTGATATTCGCAAGGTACGACCTGAATGGAAGAGTAAGGAAAGGGGATTTAGGTAAACTGGAGGAGTCAGAGAAGGAAGACCAGGTAGGTTGTGACCTAAAGAACAGAGTAAGAGGAGAAGTTTGAATAGGCAACCAAGAAGCACAGGAGAGAGTCAAGTCAAACCCTTCACACTGTCATACATAAAAAACTTTACTTGAGATGTGTAGGTTGCCATAATTTAAAAGCACATCTTTGAAATTCTTCAGAGCCTAGAGGTTAGCAGCAAGAGTGGCTGAAGAGGGTGAATCAGTCACTCTTACCTGTTTCATTTTGCATTTTACACATGCTATGGAAGAATCTTTGGCCATTTTTGTACATCTGTTTGTTCAGTGAAGCTTTAGCAGGGTAGTCACTTGGAAGCATTGAAGATCTGGCAGAGAATTTGAAGAAGTATTGTATTGTCTTTTGTATGCTGAAACTGTTGATAGTATTATAGCATTGCAGAGAGCTATATCCTGTGAAGTTCATGCAAAAACACTGTATTGGTAGCCACTGAGAAATAAAAACACCTAGAATTTTCTGAAATCTGTAAACCTTTTCTCCCTATAATATGTTGGGAAAAAGAAATCTTTCCTACATGTTCTTTTGTATTATCATCAGTTACGGTGACTGTGTTCTTTACATTCATTTTGAATCTGTGTTTCCTGTCATGAGCAGATTAAAAACAGAAGAGAGTGGAGTGAAAGTTTTCTATTGCAAACATCTGTGTCTCAAAAAGGATTGTATTTCCATGTCCTGGAACATCAAGGGGAAAAGCTTGCCCTCCCCAGACACACACCTTTGGTTTGCAGCAATAAGGAGTTTATAGACAAGGTTGCTTTACTACAGTAAGTAGAAGACCCAATTCTGCTATTATTTCCAATGGATTATTCAGCCTGGATGTCTAAGGAGACTTTCATAGAATCATTTCGATTATTGTTCCCAGTAGAGAGTTATCTTATTCTATATCTCTAAAATGCTTAACATATTTTTGTGT